TTTGTTGTGGAGTGTATGCCATTGTGAACTGTCTCTTGATACCTTCTTGTTGACAAAATTTATCAAATTCATCACAGTATATTCTCCTCCATTGTCTATCCTTAAGCACTTGATCTTCATTTCAAATCCAAGCTCTACCTGTCCTTCGAGTATTTTGAAGACTGTAAACACATATGTTTTCCTCTTGATTGGATACAACTAACATATTCTGGAGTAACCATTAATGAAAGATACAAAATATCATGCACCTCATAGGGATAAAATTGGTGCTTGCCAAATGTTGAAAGAAGTAGCTCTTGGATAGCTTTACATCTATCAATAGAACTGCTGAACTTTAATCTGTGTTGCTTACTAATAACACAATACTCAAAAAAGGCAACCACATTCTGACACATGGCCAAGCTTGCGGTGTCACATCATCGTTAATTCTTCTGCTGAACTTCTTGATTCAATAGATCATTCTCCTTCTTGGATTGTCTCATTTAAGCATGTACAAATTTGCAGCTATCTTTTTCGCTTTCATCATCACAAGCATATTTTTAACTATCTTTATGATCCCATCTTGTACATGGATTTTGTACCCAATACTATCTATTTGTCGTAAAGACAATATATTTTTCTTTAGGCCTTTTACATGTCTACTTCTTGGATGTACAAATAATACTATAATACATTTTTGATTTGATAGTACAAATGCCAGCTATCTCCAAGGTGTGATCATTCTCCATAAACACAAATCCTCTTGAGATAAATTCACATTGATGGAATTATTCCCTCCTTGGTGTCATGTGCCATGGAGCTCCTGAGTCTATAAGTTAGACATCCAAAAAAATTACTTGTTGCCTTCAACGACTGTTATTGCCTATTGTATAAAATTTCACTATATCATAGGTGTTTGATACACAACCCTAAGCTTTTGACGATTCATGGCCTTTTTCCTCGGCTTCTTCGTTTTTTTTTTTTTGAGACTCCAACAATCACTATTTTAGTATCATTTCTTGCCATAATAATGAAACTTGTCATTCTTTTTACTTTTGGATCTTGATCTACTCTGATTATGACTCTTACTGAGGCAACGTTTCGTTGATTTTTCTCTCATCATTGTCAAAGCTTTTGCCTGTTGTGAACTTGTCAATATGTCTTCCTTGTTCTTGCGCCGACTTTTTTCTTCAAGAACTGTAGCTGCAACATCATCAAAGTTATTGGTTAAATTGATCATGAGTTCATCATACAAATTAGGTGGATTTTGAAGTAAAATCTCAGTACGTTCACTCACCCCTATATTATACCCACATTGATGTAAGCTATGAAAATGAAATGTTGAGGGTGTTATGTGGTCGGTCATCATGGTTGACTCCATCATCTGATTGTTGTAGTGTAACGATTTGACCTCATATAGCTTTGTCAGCGTATCCCATATCTCTTTAGTCGTCTACATCGGCTAATACAATGCAAAATAGTAATTACATTGTCATCCATCTCGTTCCACTTGCCATTGTTAGTGACCTCCACAGGTTTTAGTCCAATTGCCTCCAAGTAGTTATATTTTCTCAAAACTTCTTATTCTCATTTTCTATAGTGAGCAATTGTTTACAATACACTTTTCACTCTCATGCTTCAACACCATTTTGTTCACCAATACTATGACTGAAAATAGTGAAGTATTTGTAAATAGTGAATAATGACCCTACACAATACCTCGCTCTGATACCACTATTAGAAAAAATGTGGTTCAAGGTTGGCTAGCAACTAAAGTGGATTTGAGAGAAATACAAAAAAAAATGGACACAAAAATTTATATGATTCACCAGTTTAGGCCACGTTCACTGGCATTTATAAAAGGATTTCACTATAATAAGAAAAAACTTGCAATAACATTCTCTCTAAATACAAGGAAAGGGTTAATTTCACAAATGGTCATTCAAATTATCTAAAAATTTTAAAACGGTCACTGAAATTTCAAAATTTCAGAAACGGTCACTGAAGTTTGAAATTTCTTTCAAAATGGTCACTGAATTTTCAGATTTTTTGGCCAAGTTTGAGGCAATTATTCGACAACTTCCGACCACCAAAATCGTCGATTTCGGATACCGTTGGAAAGCCCACGATATTCTCTTCAATTACCATCGAAAATCTCCCCAAAAGTCCAAGTGATTCGGCCGGAATAAAGCCACGAAGTCGGCAACCAAAAATTGTGAAAATCTGCCCAGATTTTCAGAATTTTTGGGCAAGTTTGAAGCAATTTTTCGGCAACTTTCGACCACCAAAATCGTCGATTTCAAATACCTTTGGAAAGCCCACAATGTCCTCTTTAATTACCACCAAAAATCTCCCCATAGTTCCAAGGGATTCAGCCGGAATAAACCCATGAAGTCAGCTACCAAAAAAGTCCGAAATCTGCCCAGTTTGGGTAGCTGACTTCGTGGGTTTATTCCGGCCGAATCACTTGGAGTTTTGGGGAGATTTTTGATGGTAATTGAAGAGGACATCGTGGGCTTTCCAACGGTATTCGAAATCGACGGTTTTGGTGGTCGGAAGTTGCCGAAAAATTATCTCAAATTTGGCCAAAAAATCTGAAAATCCAGTGACCGTTTTGAAAGAATTTTCAAACTTCAGTGACCGTTTCTGAAACTTTGAAACTTCAGTGACCGTTTTGAAATTTTCAGATAATTTCAGTGACCATTTGTAAAATTAACCCTACAAGGAAATAACAACTAACATCTCTCATAATATGAGAAATTATGTAGAAAACATTCGGGAGAAATTAATATATTTCTCTCTAGAATTATGTATCATTCTATTCATTATTTTTTTTGCTCCACTATATTTAGCAGATAACTCAATGCTTTCAATCCCTCTCTGCAAAATTGGACGTGTAATCTTCAGCTTCATCCTCTATCAATAGGGAAATTTGCTACCTACTTATTTATTACGAACCAAAATTTCATTGGCTACATTTCCTCTACACTTCACGACTAAAGATTAGCATTAAATGCAAAGGTGACTATTTAATGCATGAAGAAGATTTTTGTCGCCATGGTCAATAAAAGTGGCTTTAATAGCCAACGCTATTGAAATCATACAATATGGTATTTCAAGAAAGTGTAGACACTTTTCCAAGATGGGCATAACTCAACCACCCATGAAGAGAAAACAAAAATACCAGAGTATGTCAGCACTACACTTACCTTTAAATGCGAAATAGTACGCAATGCAAAAGGATCATTCATAGGAAAATATTTTGTATATAACTATTTACATAATATTTTACATGATGATGAGGTATCAAAATATAAGTGGAGAAATTATTTGATTGATGAGATTTTGATCCAATTAAATCTCGACACATCATATATTGTTAAATCATTATGTAAATTGTTATGTACATGTAGCACAATCCTAATTCACAGTACATGCAAAATGAAATATAGCTTACAGCTTAACACGTTCAAGCAGTTATTCCAACAAAATATAACATGCAGAGACTTCATACAAATATGCAATTGGCAAAAGTGGAATGCAATTTTTAATTATGCTTGACTTAAAATGTAACTCTAATGATGATATAGAGAAACTGAATTTGAGTCAATCATCATGGGTATTAAAGAGACTTCTGTACTTACTAAAAAAATTATATTTAAGAGCTGATAATAATTGATCGCCTAGTGCCTTATAAATCTGAGGGCGACCCTGTGAACTCTCATAATCGATTAACATGTCTCGCTTTCTAATTGGTGAAATTTGATCAAAACCAGCATTTTGAACCAATTTTCAGCAGATGATGTAACCATATAATTTCAGCAGAATAGCTGAACTTCTGAACTCTGCCGCAATACTAGATTGAAGATAGTTTTCTGCTTTTTGGAACTCCAGCTAACTAGATTATCTCCCAAATGAACACAAAAACCAGAAATTGAATTTCTACTATCAGGATCATATGTGCAGTCAGCATCTGAGAATCATCTAAGGAGAAAATGTGTTGTTTTATGAAAAATCAATAGTGCCTTTCACGTACTTTAGAATTCTTTTATCAGCCTTGCAATGAATATCACGATGAGATTGCATAAACTGATGTACTTTATTGACTGAAAAGGCAATTTCTTGTCTTGGTGATGTAATATGATGCAGAGCTCCTATAATTCCAGTAACGTCTTTTAACCTAGCTAAGGTTCCTCCAGAAACCCTTTTCCCATTTACACCCACTATAGGTCTGTTGGCAGGCAGAGGAACCAAAACCCCATTTCTAATGGGAACTCTCCCTTGAGAGAGAGTAGACAATCCATTAAGTAGATAAATTGAAGCAGAATAAGCTTCGCCCAAAATGAAGTTAGCATCGTGAGTTTTTGACCTTTTTTTTTTTAATGAAAAAATGTAATACATTGGTCAAAGTAGGGAAATTTGGAATTGTGCCTTAATTTTATGATTATATTATTTGCAAAATTTTGACATGGACAAACTGTTTAATAATTCGAATAATTCTAATATTTTAAATTAGTGTTTGATATGGTGTTTGATATTTTATTTTATTTTATGTTAAAATTTAATATCATTCTAAAAAAAATTTGATAGTTCTTTTTTTTCCTAGTTATTATTGCATTATATTTTTTTTATAACCAGACTATGCTGTTTTAGTTTTGATTAATGCTGAAAGTTCAAGTTGTATTTGATTGATTTGTGTATCTTCTACGAAGTGTTTAGATTGCATAGGTTAAAGATTTAGCCTCCATTTGGCAAATTACAAATGATTTATAAAGATGAGGATGGTAATAGTGTCACGAGTTGCCTTATGCGTAAGATCACGCAGTTAGGCTCCTCCAAGTATGTGGTTAAAAGTCTTGTTTTTTTCAAATATATAATTTCTATACTTTGCTACTCTCATTTGTTACATTCATTATTCGTATATCTGCCGGAAATCTAAAGCCCTTTTTCTTTGTCTTTAATATCTTAACCAATTTAACCCTAGAACAAGTCAAAATATGAATGTATTATAGAATAGAAGTTTAATCCTTTTGACTGTGAGTGTAGGGATCTTCAAAGAATTTGCCTTGATCATGCACTTAAAAATGAAGCTAAGTTTGGTAAGATCATTTTGCTTGATTAGTTGTTTGTCCTCAATGACATCATTTATGTCATATTAATATGTTACAACATTTTGTAGTATTTTTTTTCCCCAATACACGGTTTAGACGCTGATTTTTCCTTATAAATGATACTTACGTACTCATGGCAGGTTAATAAATATCTTATCTAGAATTGACAGAGTTGATAATTGTTATACTATGTGTGCATTTGTGTCTTAAAGTTTATCATTTTATGTAAGGATCGTGGCTAAGAAAAATTATATTTTTTTTCTTTATCAACTTGTTCGATTGGAAAATTCGATTGTGCCCCCCCAACTCAAAGAATTTGTGTCTGCCATGAGACCATGATCAACTATATCCTCCTGTTTTCTCTTGACAGACCCTTTTGTGCTGGTGTATGTGGCTAAGAGAACTGAGAGGTCTATATATATTGCCCACCCCAGTTGGTCCCTAAGATTTTAT